TTTTTTCTAGAATTTCTAATTGGTAGATGCACTCTTTTGACTTTCTCCCTCACACCACTTCTTTTCTGAGACTTCTGAGAGACTTTCGGCATGATGCCTAAGCACAGTAGTTAGTTTACCTGAGATGTAGACCGAAAGGAAGCAGTGAACAACACATGTGGTGGCGGCAGGACACAGACTGAGCGGATGTAAACAAAACCCACACGCTAAGCTGCGCATTTGGCACGGAATTTAACGGAATCACGCTCGATTTAGCAAACTAGTTTGCTAAATTGAGCGAAAAATAACGGAAATTCGATTTAGCGTAAATTTAATGGAATCGCGTTCAATTAAGCGAACTAGTTCACTAAAACAAGGGAAAATAACGGAAATTTGATTTAGCGGAAATTTTAATTTAATGGAAAGTTTTTTTTTAGTTTAACAAATTTATTGACAAAGCTTGGAGTACAGTTTGCCTATTCTGAGTAATTCAGTCAGGTCTTGACACTGAGGGTGGAAAGGGGTGGCTTGAATTAGTTCGTTAAATTGGGAAAATCCTATTTATTATTTTGTACAAAGAATAAGTTCTTCCACACACATACAGTAGAACCTCGATAAGTCGGACTAACTGGGGCAGACCCCAGTCCAAAAAATGCTTAAGTCCGAGAAAAGTGACTATACGGGGGAGGGGTGGAGATAACACTGCTTATCTGAAATGTTCAAAGAAAATCAGTTATGTTATTACTGCACTTCAACAACTAAGGTCTTTAAGTATATAACTAGGTTATTAAAAGAATATTACATCAACAATAAAAAAAATATATGAAACAACACTCTGGGTTGAAAATCAGACATGTAAGTCTGGTTGTCACCGAGATGATTGTTATTTACTGTAAAGTGTTATATGTAAGTAACCACAGAAATTGTCTTACAAATCAAGAGAAAACTGTATACAGGTGTTCCTCTACTTACGAACAAGTTATGTTCCTGAGGCTTGTTTGTAGGTCCAATTGTTTCTAAGTCCAACTTAACCCCTGTAGATACCAAACATATTGTAAAAATGAAAAGATTATGGATATTTAGTACAGCTATACCCTTTAATACAGCCTTAAAACCTGGCTCACTCTTTTCCTCTTCGGTAATGTTTGTTCACTCTGGAATTTTCTTCAAAATAATCCAGTCTCATCCACATTATACACCTGTTCTGGCAGGTAACCCCGCTTAAGTAGAAGAACACCTGTACTGTACAGTACTATAAAGATAAAAATAAGAACAAATAAGTGTAGGAGTATATTTTATGTGGAAGACAAACGTTTAACTGGGAGCAGCTAGTAGAGGGGTGAGGGTAGCATGGGTGGGTGGCTCCCTCCCCCTGTCCCACAAGATTCATTTAATGCTTCTTTTTGCAATTCCACCACAATTCTCTTATAATTTAGGATCATTTGGTGCAAGGTTGACAAAATGTTATCCTAAAAGAATCCCACACTGAACATGAGTTATTTCATACTCATTTGTTTACAAAGAGTAAATAGCTGATTGGCCTATCACAATGTCTGTCTTCAACACTTAGTAATTAGTACAGTACAGTTGTATTTATCATCACTTAACCATTAAGCCTCGGGTTAGGATGCTGTTGGCAGTAACAACCCCACGGGGATAAATCGTGAAAAAAAATCCAAAAATAATAAAAATAAATAATAAAGTCAAATAAAAAAAAAAAATGGCAGGAAAATAGGCAGACATTCTGGAACATCACCCGGGGCGCGCTAGTCGGACGTTCTGGAACGTCACCCGGGGCCTAAGGGTTAATAAATACTATTGCAGTGAATTTATCACCACTTAATAAATACTATTGTAGTGTATTTATCATCACTTTATAAGTAATACTGTAGTGTAATGTATTATGCATCTGCATGTACCCTGTTTTATTCATTAACCATTTGTTAAAGTGTACAAGTAGCCAAACTGAGTCACCAAATAACACTCAAAGGTAATAAATAATGTTTTTAAAAAGGTATCTTCATATCAAATACTATACAGTGTGTTAGTGACCTCTGTAGTAAGCTGGTCTACTGAAAGCTTATCCTCTTATTTTCAAGTCATATTGCAAATTACATACAATATTGTATTTTTCCCTATTAATCTTCATGAAACCCATAAGAGGCCAATCATATGAGAATACTACTGTATAATACTGAATCAATAAATAAATAAACCTGACGAATGTGTCAACACCTGATCAGCCCCAGTCTCCTTACACACTCAAGTGTCTTAGTTCTCAGTAGGCCTACCTATAGCAAATTTGATTAGACCACTGTACAGTATTCAGTAAGTATTATTCAGTTCATCAGATTTTTTTTATTTAATCTTCCCCATTTCTTTAACTTTTATTTTTTTTTTTAGAATTTCTGGTGACCAGAGCATCTCAAAATCCGATTTACCAAGGTTTTACCATTTCTCCCACACGTCCAGCTCGTGACACAGTTTAGGCAATCACCCAGCTCAGCTGACTCACACGAGACATCACATCATGCATTTAAAGCTCAGTAACTCACTGCATCATAACACATTTACTTCCCACATATGCTCTTTTTCTTATTTTATAGTTTTACAGTACTATACAGTATTATATTTTCCATATTTCTAAGACACACTAGAGTACTGTAATGAGTTTACAATTTTTAGTTTTATTATAAGTAACAATATACGAGGCAGCTGAGTTGGCATGTGGGCCACATAGTTTATAGTCAAGGCCTTGGCTAGAACCACCTCCATACATGTTCACTTCTCACACCCTTGCTCTTTGTTTTCTTGTTTTATATTATATTTTCTTTATTTCTAAGCCACATTTGAGTATTGTACTAATTATTTGACAACTTTTATAGTTTTATGAAAAGTAACAATAAATGCAGAAGCTAGGCTGGCAACTTGGAGACATAGTTATAGCTCACAACCAACACACACACACCCATGCTCTTCCTTTTTCCTATTTTATAGTTTTATATTACATTTTCTTTATTTCCAAGTCACATCGTTTATATAGAGTAAAATAATTGTTAAAGAAATCAGTTTTTCTGAGACGCAAGCCAAGAGTCAGCTGTGGCCTGTACGAGATGGTAATGCATGTTACCATTGTTACATATGAAATTATAAAAGTTGTGGAAAAATCATTTAAATATTCTAATGTGACTTAGAAATAAAGAAAATATAATATACTGTAAAACCATAAAAAAAGAAATATGTAGAGCATAGGTGTGTATTCTGTGTGGGAGGTGATCATAAGTGTGGATGCAGTGGGTAGTTTGTCAGTAGTGCATCTGGCGACTCAGCTGTTAGGCCTATTTCTGTTTAAATGTGCCACTGATTGTCAAGTTGTTTGAGTAAAGAATATTTAGGAAAATAATGAAAGCATAAAAAAGCAAGAATTATAAAAGATAATGCACACACTGCATTGCAACTCAACTGGTATGTACTGCCTCTGCTGACCAACCCTTAGCAACTGTTGCTAAAGGTCAGATGGCAGAGGCACACAACCCAAACCCCCTCCTCTGCTCAATACACACGGCAATTGAGGCTGAGAGTGGCGCAGGTGTTAGTATTTCCCTCAGCCATATGCTCCTACAATCACTGCGTCTTTCTTTTTTTTTCCTAAGCCCGGCACGTAAAGTTGAATGCGTGTAAAATGCAACACAACTGTAACCATTTATCCAAATGAATCATGCATACAGAATCCCTAATAATGGTGCTGAAAGCCTCTTGCCAATTATAATTTTACTGATCACCATATTGTATCTACATCACCTTTTTTTTTATACAGTAAACCTTTGTTATTCGCAGGGGTTAGGTTCCAGGGAATGGCGTGAATAGGCAAAACCATGAATAGCAACTTATACTACCTTAGTGCACTACTGTATACCTATACCAAACAACCGACCAGCCACAGCAGCACTCATCCCCTCTTTTAACTTGTCTAATAATTCAACTTTCTGTGTCAGGGGCATCACTCATCACTGACTTCTGCCTCTTACATTTCACTCCACTAGCACTGACACTAGGCAGTCTTTTAGGAGCCATTTCACATAGAAACACTAAAGCTTTGAGAGTACAACTTGAGATGCTGCGGGAAAAGGCTTGCAAGCTAACCACCATCTGCTTACCCCGAATTGTTGAAATCGCGAATCGCAAAGGTCTACTGTACTACATATCACCACCATATATTTAAAATAATAAATATTGTTGTGGATGGAAGAAATCTTACAAAACCTAATATACTTTTGGTTATTCTCTAAATCCAACCCTAATAAGCATTTTCCTAAGATGCCTAATTGCCAGAAAAGGGAGTAAACACAAGCTCTCCTGAATTTGCTGTTGTTTATATTCACTGGTATATTATGTTCTGAAATGGTATTTTCAACACTTCAAGATATCCATCAAAATTATGCTTAGTGTATGAGGGGGCGAGGGGGAGGCGCCCATCCTGTGCACTACTCTATGTTTGTTTGTGAAAACTGACAGGTACAGGCAGGAGTTGCTATTTTGCTCCATAATATACTACTACAGTAAACCCCAGATATACCGAACTTTAATACAGTACTGTATACTGAATTTCTGCTTTAATGAACCATGTGGGCCTATCTAACATGTGTAAAGTGTACTATGTTATGTATAGTGTACATAATAGTGCATAGTGTTTCAGTAGTTACCTAACACTGGCCACCTCAGATCACCAGGAAACAACTGCAGATTCATCCTCAGATAGGTAAATACAACTGCATTTAGTACTGTACAGGTACTTGTATTTTTTCTTTATTTTCTGGCTTAAATATTTAATTGATTAGATATAATAAACTTTCGGCTTTAATGAACCACCTTTCCCCCAATTGGTCCATTATATCGGGGACTTACTGTATGGAGATTTTTACACCAATCTCCTGGTTAAAATTAAAATTGTTTTGTCAGTGTTAACAATTCCAGCTGAGTACAAAGTGACAGAACTAGTGGAATTAAGAATATTCATAAAATTGAGATCTCTGAATACTGGAAGCTTTATTAAGATCTACACATACTATAATATACTTTAAAGGTAGATGCACAGACTAATATTACACTCACATTTTCACAGTGGATTCCCAACTGCAAATAACAACTTGTTGGGAAAACCATTGTTGTTATTCAATACATTAAAAAAATACTGATGTACTGATAAATTCAAATACAGTAGATTCAATTACCCTACAATAGTAATTTCTACTTTAACAAAATTCTCCAGTAACTTTGTCATATTTTTGTACTAGTTATACAAAAAATAGTCTCATGAATGTGAACTGATGTGCCTAAAATATTTGTTTTATTCAGGGACATAACACTGCAACAGTAAGTGCCATCACTCAAAACTGAATTTAACCAGCATTTGGTAATAATTTACTTTCATTGAAAATATGACTTCTGTCAAAGGAAACGAACTATTGATTAGTAATACAATTTATATGGACAGAGAAACAAAGGCCATCATCAACGACAAATTTGGCCTTATTTTTACGATACAGTAGTTATTACTAAAAAATGAGGGTTAAAGGAAATTAAAGCTAACAAACATAAAAAAGGTTAATGTATCTACAAAAGTAGGTGCCAATTCTCTGGAAAAAAATTAAAATAATTATATATATATGTTTAGTATATACTGTACAAACAGTATATATAAAACTGAACAGTTTATGAGCACAAATTAGGCTCAGGGAATTTCCTTAAGTATGAGAATAATAATAAAAAAAGGCATAAAAATACAGGAATAAGTTTCTAATTTTATTTGAAATAAGGCAAGAAAAATAAAGAAAATGTATAAAACTACACTTTACTTTGTATTCTTATAAAAAGGAAATATTACAAAGTTTAGCTTTACATATACATTGTATGTCTTGAATGCATCATTATAACATTCTTAAAAAATCTGTAACGATTGCTCTTATATGTATACAGTATATAAAAAATGTATATGTAAAACAAAAACTGTAATTGTGTAATAAACAAAACAAAATTATGTAAGTTATACTGTATAGGCCAAGTTTCCTTCAAAATACTGTCCTGTCATATGAGTTTGGAGTGTGGTATATCCGTGAAAGCCTATCTTACGTTAGCAATGTTTTATCTCTAATTACAAGACATCCAAAATTACCATCCACATTTTACTAACATCGACCAACTTAAAAGTTCTTTGAAGACTATAAAAAACGTGTCACATTAAAATTCTGCGACTCAGTGTTGCTGAAATACCACTTTATGCATTCAGTCTGCCTCATGGTTCCCTTCTTCCTCATCATTTGTAGAGGAGTGCCAAGTGAGTCGTTCTTCATAGAACTTGATTACTACTTGTGGGCATCGAACATTAGCCTGCCTGGCTGGGACCAAATCTGCTTCATCAGTCCCTCTCCTGAAAAGCATCCAATTAAAAAAGGTAAATAAAGACAATATATATTACCTTTGTTCTTTCAAGACTTCCCAACTATAATGTAAATTGCTTAGAATCAAGGGTAACTTACCATGACCATCAATGTTTTATGGCCATTTTCCATGCTTGCATGGATTAACTGTGATTACTTAACCCTTAGACCCCGGGTGACATTCCAGAACGTCCGACTAGCGCGCCCCGGGTGACGTTCCAGAACGTACGCCTATTTTCCCGCCATTTTTTTTAAGTTTATTTTTTTCTTGATTTAACCCCGAGGGGGTGTACTGCCAGCAGCACCTTAACCCGGGGTTTAAGGGTTAAAGGCAACTCTTCATGTTGCACGATTTCTTAAGTCTCTCGTCAGGTTCTTAACTCTAATGACATACCTTACAACTTATCCCCACATCAGTCTTGGCCTGCCACTGGCACAGAGGCTCGTGCACTTCTTAACCCAAATGGTTTCGTCAATTTTCTCCACATGCCCAAACTATCTCGGCCTAACTCGTCACAGAACTTCATTATTACTCTCAATGCCCAGCTATCTTCGCTCTAAACAGGGCCTCCTGTCTTTTATGGTTATATTACACATTCACCTCGCCATTCTCATTTCAACCCGCTCAAGCTTACCTTCATAACCCAATCTAATAGCCTCAGGCCCTTGTAGTTTCCGCATTCAAGTGCATCACCTTTACCATTGTAAGTACCCCCTGTACTGTACTATCATACTTCTTTTAATGAAGCCTCGGTCATTGGATTTTCGTTTAACAGAGCCAATGATAAAGTACACCGCCACCTTTGCTGTTTACATCCTCTAAGGCAGGCGTTCTCAAACTTTTTTCAACCAAGGACCCCTTATATACCATGACGCATACAAATATTGTCAATAATCAAAGAATAAATCATAGTCCAAAGCATTTGTTCATTTCAACCCAAATCCAAAATATCCTGTGAATTGGAATCGCCAAATCTCTCACAAACGTTAAACGCACTACTGTATTTCTTAAAAACTTCTCGCGGACCCCAGTTTGAGAATCACTGCTCCAAGTCGACCGGCAAGTGTCTTAAAATGTCTACATACAGTAGCTCACCAAGATTCGTGTTGGTTGTGTCGCGTTAAGTCTCTTCATATTTTCACTATCTATTAGTGTTTTGTGAACATTTTATGCCCATTATATCTGGGAAACAGCCTGCAAGTGAGTGGGGTTAAGACAGGCTAGTGTCAGATCAATGTTGATCGGTTGCTTGGCTTCCTTCACCATTAAAACTACACTCGACAGCAGAGAGAAGTTAAAAAGAACCAGCCAGTTTACCACATCCTTAGTTGCAATGAAGGTTTCCCACACAAAGAATAAGCTGCTGCAAATGCTGGAGATCTGACTCAGCATTTGGGAGGGAAGATCAGAACCCATGCCACATGCCCTTAAGCCAGTTTATCATTATGGAGAAGACAAGGAGCCTTTTAACCTACCTACAGAAGCAAGAAGGTGAGGGATCTTCAATGAAAAATTTCACGGCCAGTCGAAGCTGGTTTGAGAAATTTAAACATCTTAGCAACATGCACAGCACCTGCCTCACAGACAAAGCTGCAAATGCTGACAAACAGGCAGTCCATGATTACCCCAACACAGATAGTCCAGCAAATCAACTACCCACCAAAGCTCATTTTCAACGTGGAAGAGAAGGGCTTGTACTGGGAACGAATGCCATCTCGCACATTCATTTCACAGGATGAGAAGCATTCAGCTGGCTTCGAAGCAGCAAAAGACGGGCTGACACTTCTGTGTGGCAAGGCCTCAGGGGATGTTAAACTTTACCCTATGCTCATGTACCACTCGGAGATGTCGCAAGCACCCGCCTGTCGTTTGGCAGGCAAACAAGGTCTGAGTGATGAGGGAATTGTTTCGGCAGTGATTTACCTCCTATTTTTTCCCTGCTGTAAAACGTTACTGTGGGGAGAAAACCTCGCACCCAGAACCTTGCTGGTGATGGATAATGCTCCTGGCCAGCCACAGTACTTAGAGAGTTTAAGAACAGTCCTGCCTGTGGAGATGGTGTTCCTACCACCAAAAACAACTTCCATTATCCAGCCAATGGACCAAGGAGTCACTGCCACTTTTAAGAAGTACACTACTATTACCTCCACCACACTTTCAAGCAGCTGTTTCTTGAAATAGATGGTCTCGACAAACAATCAAATGCCGAGTTTTGGAGAACAACAATTAATGTAAAGATGGACATTTAAAAACATTAGCTGAGCATGGGAAGAAATGATAGAAAAATGTATGAACAGTACGTGGTGGAATGTGTGACCAAGTGTCTGTCACGACTTGAGAGGCTTTAATGTGGAGGAAAACATCATCAGGGATATTGTTCTGCTACCCAATCAAGCTGGACTTGATGAAGTAATGTCGATGATGTGGAGGAGCTGCTGACATCACATGGGGGCAGCTTAATTAACAAATGAGGAACTGCACGAACACCGTGCTAGTGAAGAGGCTGAAGATACCGAACCTGAAGAATTCCCATGTAAAAAGGTATTAACTGATTCCTAATGGAATTAGTGTGAATCCTTTTCACTTTTTACTGAATCGGAAGGCAAGACAGTCAACCCTTGATGTTTTCTTTGTAAAGGAGGAGGATGGACCACAACCTGACCCCTCTTCCCAGGAGTACAGTAGCTACTGTCTCTTGTCGCCCATTGCTGCCAGGGAAGAGGAGTAGGTATAGGAGCGAGGCAGCAGTGGTAAACCATAACAAGATCCAAAAAATTCGACTTGTGAGCGTTATTAAATTTAGTTTAATTTATTCTTGATGTTAACAAAGTCTTCATATGAAAGTAAAAGTTAAGCATTGTCACCTCATGATAGCCATTTTGTTATTTATAATCGTTGTGTTGGAGGAGTTTGCTCGCCGCTTAATGCTTACTTTTCATACGAAGACAGCAGTTGAAAATCATGTGTATTTCTAAGTAACTGCAACTTACATCTAATGCTTAAGGCCTATTTTGGAACATCTAATCATTATTTAGCCATTCTGTAAGAAAATAACATTATTTGAAGGCATTTATTTATCATTTTGACTAATTTTGCTACTAAGCAAGAACCCATCTCCACAAACACCACGTTATAATGGCCTCCTTTAATAGATATTTTGCTTAACAGACCAGCCTTAAGCACACATCTCATCTGTTATAAGAGGTATGATAGTACAGTGATCCCTCGGTTAACGAACGCCTCGGTTAACGAATTACCTTCCATAAGAATCTTCAATTCGGTTAACAAAAAAAAAAATTCGGTTAACGAAATTTTTACGAAATCATGTCAACATATTTTCTCTTGCTCACCAGCTGGAATATTAGTCCGCCAATACAGTAATCAGTTCTAGGAACTAAATCCGTTCCCATTTGAGTAAATATCAAGAAGGTTGTACTATTCAATAATTTTTCCAAGTTATATATTAAATTTTTTAGTAATTTTAACACTTATTTAACATAAATGCAGTACAGGAAACTAGTTTTTGGTGTGCCAATCAGCCACTTGACTCACCCAGCAAGGCGTCAGTTTGTATCTCTGGTCAGTGGAGGTAACATCTTGCTTGTGGCTCTCTTAAACATAAACTATTTTTACTTTTTTACAGTACAATTATTGGTCATTCTGAAATTTATTTTACATATTGACAATATATAGTGCAGTGTTGATTTAAAGAAAATAATCTTGAATTACACCAAGTGAACTTAAAATTTTATGGGTGAAATGGCAGCATGAAGCATAGGGTGACTTCTCTTCCACCCCCACTGCCTTCTCTTCTCCCTTCTCTTCCACCCCCACTTCTAATTCCCATTATCATCATCATCAACCAGGAGCCTTCTACATACACACCTCAAAGTAAGTGTACTTTACTGCATTTATTTTTACTTTGTATGTAATTTTCGGTGACCTTCTCTAGCCGACGTTGTTGGGTGGAGTTGAGGGAAGACGACCAGGCTGGTGACGCATACGTTAGTTTGGGGAGAATAAAGGCGTTGTAGATAGTCCTCAGCTCTGGCGTGGGTGTCCCAAGTGACCTAAGTCGTCGTAGCATGTAGAGTCGGTACGAGGCTGCCTTGATTGTGTTGTTTACATGGGCCTTCCAGTCCAGTTTGTGGTCCATGGTAACACCCAGGAGTTTGGCAGACTGCACTAGCTAGAGAGGATGGGCACCACTGTGACTGCTGGAGCTTGCACTGGAGTGGTGGCAGTATTGATGTGCATGACTATGGTTTTGGTGTGGTTGATGGTGACCTTGTTCTCCGTAGTCCATGCCTGTAGCCTGTCCAGGGTGCCTTGTAGCGATGAGTAGTCTGGTGCGATGTTGTCCACTGTAACCCCCACAGTGCAGTCATCCACGTACTTCCACCTGTGAGGAGTGTCCGATAGAGCGTCGTTGATCAGGATAAGGAAGCACAGTGGTCCCCTGGGGAACACTGCAGGTGAGGTGTTGGAATGTGGAGACAGAACCACCTCACTGCCTGACGAAGTCCACTCAAGAAATCAGTGAGCCATGAGACCAGGTTGGTGGGCAGCCCAAGTGCAATGGCCTTGTTGATAACAGTGCAGTGATCAACAAGGTCAAAAGCCTTCCTGAACTCAACAAGGACAACGGCCAGTGATGTCTTACGTTTCTGCAGGTTTTTGTGCAGGAAATCCAGAAAACTAACTAAGCAGTGTGATGTAGAGGAGGTCCTCATATTGCCAAATTGCTGTGGATCAATTGACTGATAGATTCTAGCAAATGCCCACTCAAAAACAAAATCTTCACAGAGTAGACTGGGTATGGGGGTAATGGCAACCAGCCTGAGGTCTTTAGGGGACTGTGGGGTGGTGACCTTGGGGATAGGGGTGACAAATGCGGTATGTGTGTGTGTGTGTGTGTGTGTGTGTGTGTGTGTGTTTGTTTGTTTTGGGAGGGCAGTGGATATCGTGATGTGCTCTGACTAAAGCAAATCCATCATTGAAATTATGATTTAGGTGATAATAAAGGTAGTGGTGGTGCTCATGGAGCTGGTGGTGGAGGGAGAATGTGGTGGTGCTCATGGAGCTGGTGGTGGAGGGAGATTGTGGGAAGTGGTGAGGAGATGATGCATCAATCGGTTTGTTTGGTAGCACTGGCTGCAGCACTGCCAGACACAACTGAACAGCTGATGTCTACCCACAAAATTGAGTGTAAGTATAAATGAACAACATTGTATTCCTTCCACTTTATGTTACACAAATTTTAAACAATGGAATGAGAAAAGTAAGGGTGATTAGAAAGGTTGAGTGGAAGGATGTGGTAACATGCAATGGGTGTGTTAACAAACACATGCTTATCCTTGCCGGGAACATTGGGACATTCAACCAGAAAATACACATGTCGTCGTCACTTGGTTGGATTAGGAACCTAACACTCTTCTTGTTCACAGGTGCCATGGTGGAGGGTAAGTAAAAGTTACAAAAGTTGCACCAAAAAAACAAGCATGGAGCAGGAAACCATCTGCTAACACCAACCAAAAATGTACAGGGAAACAAATGCTTTTGCTGGAAGCTGGAGCCACGAGCCGTGCTGCCATATCTTGGCAGTTGCTGCTACCGCTGGCTCTCACAGACCCGCCGCTGTCCAATGACAATTCCGCAATAACCCAGATCAATCAGTGATAAGTGTACACATGGTCGCAATTGAGGATACCGTGATAAGCCAGATCAGTGATTAACTGGGTCCTGTGATTATCGAGGATACATGTACTCTCGATTTAACAGAATATGATACAACAAACTCTCGATTTAACAGAATCTGATGTAACGAACTCTCAATTTAGTGGAAGGCATCCTTCCATTTTTTTTGCTAAATTTAATGAACTAGCCCTCTACATATCCATTCAAACTAACAATTATAACTCCCAGAACACCCCAATAGTTAATCATAAACTTATGAATGTATAATAGGTATGTGTACTTATACACATTTGTGATCATAATATTGTTTTGCACCTATAATTTCAATTTAATCTACTTGAATGGTAGATTACACCCCATACTTATCAGTAACTAAATACTTACCATTTCATAAGAAACATGAGCTCGCCACTTGAATCTGTTGCACCAATAATTCTTTCAGCCTCAAGTGCTCGATCAAATCCTCGTGGGCGACTATCCTCCTGCAAGATGTATGCGATTCAATTAATATTACATTTAGGATGACACAAAATACTTCAAAATATTTAGTGCTGGTGAATAATGATAAAATATTCTACACTTTTAATTTGACTTATTTGGTTGTAAATTACAATTCATCATAATTGTGAATATTTTCCTACCCACAGTAGTATAATACAACTAATGATGACAGCTTTCAAAACACTTTGAACATGCCACACAATTTCCCATCCTTTTCCTAGTCCTGACATGGCACCAGAAAGTGCTGACCTCATGTGTTGGTACTGTACAGGGTATATATTAGGGTGTGACAGTTGCCCCAACTTTGTCCTACAATGCTGTTCAAAATTTTGGTGTTGCATATTGACATAAAAAATACCCACGTGCAATTTTTTGAAGATTCATGCATATTTGAGTGACCACCAGCAATTTGAAAAATAGCGATTTTGCTTATACGGCATACGCGCCTATACAGTGGGGTATGCTATAACGAACGGACCCTACTACGAATATTCCTATAACGAACGGTTTTACCTATAAAATTGAGAATGCTATAACGAACGAAACTCCTACAACGAACATTATTTAATTTTTTTTTCTAATTTATTGTTTTTTTATTTCAAATATTAATGATATTCTTTATTTCAGGGGTTTAGATGCATATTTATGCACTTTTTTACAATTTTTACAATTTTATATTATATTTTTCAGTGTTAAGTGGTTGTATTTGGGGGCCTGGAACGGATTAATCCTATAACGAACGAATGCTATAACGAACAAGGTTCTAGAACCAATTAGATTCGTTATAGCATACCCCACTGTAAATGAGATTACACAACCATCATAAGGGATATTAACACAAATCATTTGCCTGTCTTAATTAAAAGCTGTTATCACTAACACAAAAAAGTTAATCATTCTTATTCTCTAATGGAATATTAAGGGGTTTTATCATATATTCACAAGGTATTATTTCTCTAGAGCAAGAAACCATGATCTCTGTTCGGAAACAGATGATCATTTGCGCTGATTAGGAACGCGGAGTCTGTCATTTTCAACTACTTGAAGGACTTCTTGAAAGTGCTCCTCATCCCTGGCAACATTAAGAAAGTCATGGCAAAGTTTTACAACGTTTTACACCACGCTCTGCAGCCTCATTGACGACCTGAAGCTTGTCCACAACCCGTTTCATGTTCAGGTAGTCGCCATGATCCGCCCATTCACTGGCTGGACTGTGGAGAAACTGATAGGGCATGCCTAAAATGGTGAAGAACCGGCTTGAGTCAGGCCCAATTAGGTCCACCAGGGAAGTGCCACTTTCTGGGACAAGGAGAAGATATGGCTTTCCATAGCCCCCATGATTGAGCCCCACTCTCTTAGTAACTTCAGTGCCTTAATGGCAAAGAAGGGCCTTCCTCATCTTCTCTTTTGTCCTTTCTTGTACTTGGGACGAGAACAAAGCCAGTGCAGCCAACTCCTCAGTTAAGTACCAAGTGTGTCTACCGAGTGCCACATGCTTTGTCAACTATTGTGGCGTCATATGGGTTAAATTCAGCCAAGGTTTTGACCAAATTCAAGTCATTCAGTGGCGCACTTGCTGGAACGGGGCAAACAATCCACCATGGGACATAAACAGCGACTGTGAACACAGCAAACCGTTCTAACTTGCTGATTTGACTTTTAGTCACAGCCTCGGCTTTGGGAAACTGCTCTTTGATCTGGCCTGACAAAAGAACAATCTTGAGGGTATAGACCAGTTTAGCCATCCACCTTGCTTTGTGAAGTGCGCCAGGGTAGACCATCGTGAAGTTCACTAGCTCGGAACCTTTAGTTACAAGCAGCAGACAAAGTTCTACCAGCTCCCTGTAGTCGTCAGGCTCAATTCTGATTTAAACTTCATAATTCCAGGATCATCAGCCCGTCTTCTATCCTCATTCTTTTTCATAAGCATCATGGAGTCTTTGTCATAGTAAATTTTAATTACTCGGCCAATATTGTTCCTGCCTGTAATGGTCGGGACATTCGCCTTCTGGTAATGCAAAAGCACATTGTCAATGGTGGCAGATAAAGCCTGGTCCCAATGCATATCCCGAAGGTTTGCTAACAGACATAGTAAGACCTGCCTATTAGTTGGCAGTTTGCAGCCCTTTATTTCCTTTTCTTCTTCTTGGGGTACAGTGCCCAATAACATTCTGACATACTCATCATCTTGCCGTGTATCCATGATTAAATTCTCTATTCACAACATCAAATCACTGTCAAGGGAAAAGAAAAGAGCATCATTAAAATTAAATGCAATAAAATAATACGTGGAAAATTTGTGGGTCAGCGTTCCAGACCCGGAAATGAAAATCTGATAAAATGTGCTATTTTCACACTTATTTATGAAGTTCATAAGCTGAAATAGCAATACTTGCTGGTACGACGGCGCTAGCTCAAACATGCACCGATCTCCAAGAAAATTTACAGGGGTGTTTCCTAGAAAAATACACAACATTAAAACTTTGAACAGCATTGTAGGACCTTTTTTTTTATTTTTGGAGGGCAACGGTCACATCCTAGTATATATGTTACTTTTTTTTTTGGAACTGGCTATTTTGCAAAATGACCAGCATGCATATTGGTAATTTTGCAAAATAACTAATAACCTATAAACAGACAACCTCAACTACAGTAAGCCATTCTTATGGTTGAATAAAGTTAGGCTAGATTAGGTTAGGATGGCTTGTGTAGCTTGATACACGATTATGTGGTCTTTTTTTTTTTTTACTATTTACTTTGTGCTGTCCTAACTATAAGGTTAGGTTAGGTTAGGTTAGTTTAGGTTGTCTGTAAGTTATTTTGCAAAATTACCTGTTACCGCAAGCAGTAATGAGTAGGATGACACATAAACAAACATTATGTTAGGCTGTAAAGTCATATCATGTTTATTGGGCGTGCCTGCCCGTATACAGTATATAGAGTATCGAGATGGTGGAGATGGAGAGACACGGAGGAGGTTGGTGTGTTGGGTGGTAGTAAGGGAAGCTTGTTTGCGTATAATCGCCTGACGCAGCAAAGTTGGCCAGCCAGGGCTGGGCATGTGACGCCGGGCAGGGCACTGCCATTGTAGCTATCCCCATCACAGAGTCAACACCTAACCTGTTTCTCTTGAGACTTTCAACACGTAAGTTTAACTTGTACTTAAGTTTACACATGTAGACTGTGTCCATTGCATCGCTTATCATTGTAACAACATAGAAATATGGCAAATTAAGTACTCATTATAAGTGTTAAGATTAGACTAATTACATAGCAGTGATTGTTATGTGAATATATATTGGATTAAAGATTTATGCATGATTGCCTATGTATGATTTATTTGAAATACTAAAATGAATTGCATTCAACAGGTTTGACCTAATTATAACTTTCAAGTTTAACGTGTAGATTCTGATTAACCTTTAAACGCTCAGAAGGCGTTTACATTACCAATATGCATGCCGGTCATTTTGAAAAATAACTGATTCTGCAAAAAAACATAACATACACATCTTGTCCTCTCTTTTACTTTACTGCTACTACTTTGCTGTCACTCGGAATGGAGAGTATGGCGATCATCCAGCTATGATACAGTGATATGAGTTATTAGGGATGTCACCTTCATTGGCGAGTTTTCAGGTGACTAAAAAGGCTGATACAGGACCAGCAGAAATGTTACCAGATGTTGCACATGTGGAAGGCTACATAGAGTTCGGGAGAGGCGGTGGCAGCGTCTTTCCGGCGTTGGTGCTTGTCTGCCTCAGCTTGCAATTAGGCTAACTTGAAAGTGTTGACACCTTCTCGTGTAGTGCTTCTCCAAGCGTTACGATGTGGTGCAATAGTCTTCCAGGTGAGGGGGTCGATTTGGCACTTTTTCAGATTTGTTTTAAGACTATCCTTATACCTTTTCAGTTGCCCGCCGGTGTTATGTTTACTATTCGTTAGGCGACTGTAAAGTAGCTGCTTTGGCAGTCTACTGTCGTCTATGCGGGTAACTTGACCAGCCCAGAGTAGTTGTTCATGGATAATGGTAGCCTCGATGCTCCTACAGTTGGTGTCAGCAAGGATGCTGGCATTTGTTCTCTTGTCTTCCCAGCGAACTCGGAGAATGGAAAGTAGACTGCGTTGGTGAAAGTTTTCAAGTGCCTTGAGGTGCCTCCTGTATGTGACCCATGTCTCACTGCCATATAGCAGGGTGGGGAGGACCAATGCTCGATATACGTGTAACTTTGTAGATAATTTCAGCTCCCTACAGATGAAGACACGGTTTCGGAGTCTTCCAAAGGCTTGAGATACACATCTGATCCGATGCTGAATCTCTTCATTGATGTCTGCGGTGGAGAGGTGGGAGCCGAGATACCAAAAGTGGGTAACATTAGAGAGGGTAGTACCGTTAAGCTGGATGGATGGTGGAGGTGTGGTTGAAGCAGGGGCAGGTTGAAAGAATCTGAGTCTTAAGTACATTCACCTCAAGGCCGAAGTGTGCATACACATCTGTGTAGGTGTCCAGGATCTCCTGTAGGTCGCGTTCAGTGAGCAACAAGAGTGAGGCCGTCTGCATACTGAAGTTCAGTAATGGAAACTGCCGACACCTTTGTTCTTCCAGCTAAATTGGCACAAGCAAGGAAGCTAGTCAAGAAAATGGAAGAGAGAGTTGGTGCAAGTACACGCCCTTGTTTAACCCCCATTTGGTTGGGGAAGAGCTCAGACTGGGTGCCATTGTGCAGGACACTGCCATTCATACCATTGTGGAATTGCATCACAATGGCAATGAATTTTAGGGGGCAGCCATAACAGCTAAGGGTCCACCAGCGGGCTTTCCTGTTGACCGAGTCGAAGGCCTTGGTTAGGACGATGAAAGCCATATACAAGTCACGTTGCTAATCTCTGCACTTTTCCTGTATCTGGCGGGCAGCAAAGATCATGACAGTGGTGCCACGTGATGGTCTAAGGCCACATTGAGATTCTGGGAGGAAGTTTT